GAGGCGTCGGGCTTGACAGCCGGGACCCCGCCCGCGCCGGGGCCAGGGCTGGGGACAAAGACGCCGGCGGCGCAGCGGGGCGCGGTGCCCTTCGAGCGGTGCCCGCGCCCGGGGTGGCCCGGGCGCTGACATCTGCTGGGTTCCCGAATTGGCCGCCGAGCAGTGACCGCAAAAAGAAAAGTCAGAGGGACAGAGTGAGTAACGTGCGAGCGGGCGGAAAGTCGGGCCGCCGGAGCCGCTCCGCGTCCCGGCGCGCGGGGCGCCGTACTTTCCTGGGAATTTTGGTGGCCCGGGAGCGGGCAGCTGCGGCGGCGGATGTGCAGGCTGCGCCCCCGAGCTGCGGACCGCCTGGCTGGCTGTCGGGGAGAGCCCCTCGGGTTAGGGGCCCCGTCCTGGGGCCGCGGGTGTTCGGCCCGCGCCCTCCTCACACTGCCCAGGTGCGGAGCAGGGCAGGCGCGGATTCTGCCATGAATTGGAATTTTTCACCTTGAGGCAGCTTCAGAGTCTGCAGTTCTCACGGAGGAACTGATTGAACCGACAGGATGTTGGGGTCTGGTGGTGATTTTTTTCATACTTCTGTCCGACTGCTACCCACTTTAGCGCTTTGTGTTACTTGCTTCTTGTTACTTCTTGCTACATTTCTAACAGTTATTACATAATGAAATAAATACAAATTGTCCATCCCTTTTCCAGTTCTTAGTGTTCTGGATACAGAGAACACAAGCAAGAGGTGATACTGCTCGTGGCCCAGGCCATTTCCGATTTTGTTCTAGACAGAATTTAACTCTGTAAAGGTGTAGGAAAATTGGATGCAAAGAAATGACCGAAAAAGAAAATACACTGAGTAAAATTTGATTTGTACAAAAGCTAGGTTGTGTACACGGTAGAGCAGGATAAGTATATGCAATATACACGAAAATGGGTTCAGAATGAAATGAAATTGGGAACAATGTTGCTGTATTGTAAAAAAGTTGATCAGAAAAAAAGAAAGTTGATCAGGCAGTTAATGGGGTTTAATGAAATTCCTCTAGAAATTAATTCCTCTTAATAAAAATGCAGTAATGTCTACTTATGTTTAAATTTTGGCTTAATGTGTATAGAGGTCAGAGGAGTGGTATCGTAGTATTGTACCCAATTCATATATAACTTTTTATTTATTTATTTTTTAGGTAGGGTCTCACTTTGTGTTTGAGGCTGGCCTTGAGCAACTGGCAGACCTCTTCTCTCTTCCAACTGCTGGGAGCTTTTTAAAAAGCTGTAAGGAGTATATGAGGTAGATGTGGTGCATGTCTATAATCCTAGCACTTGAATTTAAGGCCAGCCTGTGTCACTGTATGTAGTGGGACCCAGTCTCAAAAAAACAAAGGGTGGGGAAAAAAAAAAAAATCAAAGCTGCTGGAGTTTAGGAAAGAACAAGGACAATTAAAAATAGCATTTTTCCTTGAAAAATATTGAGGAAGAACAGAGATGTTCTTTTTGGTCAGATGTACTTGAGCTAAAAATACTGAATTCATTTCAGCTCTAAACTAAGTGTTCTGTACCTCGATTTGCTTAAACTTCTCTTTTGTTCCCCAAGCTGGTGGGGCAAGCTTACTTAACAGAATAAATTAATTTCACCAGGTAGTGTGAATTTTTAAAAATTACACTGTAAATTGCAGTATTGTATTTTGCTAATTGCTGGATTCTTTAAGATGCTAAAAATAGTGTTAAATACTATTGGATATCTTAGATGACAATACCATCTTTCATAGATAAAACATAAAGGTTGTAGTTTTTGTTGTTTTAAAAAGCCTCTCTAAAAAACAACAAAACCTCTCTGAGGAAAGTGTAGTTTGTTTGTGACATACGAGAGTTGGTTAAATTACCTGCACTGTCAGCTCTGTATGCAATGAGTAGCATTTTTGACCTTACTCTTTTCTAAACATGTGTCTGGAGACCTCTCCTGTCTAGGCTGCAGAGTTTTTTGCTTTTTGGGAAGACAGCACAGGTTGATTTGCAAGTCTCTCGTTCATGGATGGAGGAGTTTTTACTGTGGCATTGATGTTTGGTGGTACAGTAGTTGGGTGCTGAAACTGTTTTGTATGCTTGGATCCTGCACAATTGTGACCTCTACTGGTGACCAGCCAAACTGCCTTCCAGTGGCTCCATGGGCTTTTGTTCCATATGGCTTTACATTTTTGATGGCTGAAAGTTGAAGTACTTGGTTAGTTCGTTCGGTTTAGGAGGTGCTTTGTTGTTGCCTTCTGAGATATTTTTGGGGGTGATTTTGTGCTTGTGTGTAGAGCGCCCCTGCCTCCCCCCATTGAACCTAAGGCCTTCACACAGAGCTACAGCCCAAGCCCTTTTATGTATTTATTTTTTGAGACAGGGTCTTTCCAAGTTGCTGAATTGCCTAAGTTGAGCTCAAAATCTTTCTGCCTCAGCCATCCAAAGTGCTGGGATGACAGGCTGTGCTACCACACCTGGCTGTGTTTGTAGCTTTATGTAGTATGATTAATGCAGCAGTTTTCTGCCAAGTCACTGTCGGCACTTTATAGCAACTTTAGGTTTGTAATCAATTTATTCCTTTTTTATTTTATTTATTTATTTATTTATTTTTGGCGGAACCGGGGATTGAACTCAGGGCCTTGCACTTGCCAGGGAAGCGCTTATTCCACTGAGCCATCTCCCCGGCCCCATATTCCTTTTTTAAAAATTAAATTTACATAAGTTTGTTGTCTTAATATGGGAGAAATTGAGAACTAGTTTTGTACCAGCTACCTCTTATTTCCTGTAAAGTGGTTGAATTGAGTACAAACTATATAGTCATGTAGAAGAGATTATCCTTAGTGGAGAGTACCAGTTACAGTTTAAGACTGAGGTCAGGGGCTGGCGAGATGGCTCAGTAGAATAAGCGCTTCCCTGGCAAGTGCAAGGGCCTGAGTTTAATCCCCCGTACCACCAAAATAAATAAATAAATAAATAAATAAATAAATAAATAAATAAATAAAAGATTGAGGTCAGATTTTCAGCCATATTGTTGGATGAAGGGACTAATGCTGTCTCTTCTCTTAAAATTCATTCAGTGGCCTAAAAGCTGAATCCCTCCCCCCCCAAAAAAAAATCAGACAAGGACTCCTTGGCTTTTTCTATATCAAAGTCAGTGGTTGTACAATAAAGGAAAAAATGTAAAACAGACCCTATCGCTGTCCCACCCAATCCACAGTCCCAATAGGAACAGCAAAAGCCAAACAAAAAACTCTGACCCCCCCCAAACAAATTAAAAAATGTGGGAAACAAATTGAGTTTGCAAAATACAAATAACAGCCAAAGGAAATTATGAAAATAACTATAATCCCAGGGCCAATGAGGGGTCTATAAAACTTTGAAACCACAAAGGGCACCTGGCCCACCCTTATATCAGCAAAAGCCAGAAAACAGCTTCTTGCTGAGCATATGAACCCATCAGCTGAGTCTTAACCATTTCCCAGTTAGGGAAGTGTGAGGAGGAAGAGCTTATCTGGACCCTTTCAGCATTCCAGCCTGTGCATCAGCAGTCCCAGCAGGCGCTGCACCGTAAGATGGACTGTGTAGGAAGTGCTTGGCACAGAGCTCCAGGTTCCCCCAAGGGCTATCAGTGTTGGTTACTGGCCTGTTTACTTCTAGGGTTTTGGTTCCCCCCATATCATTTCTTTTGGATATCTACTCCTCAGAGGTGCCTTCTAAATGCCACTTAGAGTCAATAGGACTGTCTGCTGCTTTGATTCCCTGGTTTAGGAGAAGGGTGATTAGAGATTCCTTATTCCACCTTGAGCCTCTAGGGAAAACAAATATCTTTGTGCTTTCTGCAAATATCTGGAACCATGAACTCTTGGCAGGAAAATACAAAAGTGGTGACATTCCTACCCAGACAGAATTTACAGACATTTTAGAAGAAAAAAATACAGCAGTAAAACAGGAATCTACGTTTTCCCCCCAGAAGACTGAGCAAAGGGTCCCAGTGCCTTTCAGTGCCAGAAAAGCAGGGGCATTTTGTGGCTCAGCCTTAAGGAAAACAGGCAGGACCTGGGTCCTAGCTGTAGGAGTGATTTCAGATTTCCATCTCCTTTTTTTTTTTTTTTTTTGGTGGAACCGGGGATTGAACTCAGACCCTTGCGCTTGCCAGGGAAGTGCTTATTCTACTGAGCCATCTCCCCGGCCCATCTATTTCCTCTTGATAGTCAAACTCTCCTGTATCTTCCACACCATGAGCAAATAATCATGACAAGGCAGGGCTCTTGAACTATGTCGTCTCCCATATGCTGGTTCTCACGGGCCATTACCACAACAGCTGGCTTGCCAGGGATGTGCTTGACCACTCAGTTCTCATAGAACCGCCTGTTCATCTGTCACTAGTGTGGCCAGACCTGAGTTGTGCTGCCTTTGTGGGCATTTTCATTGAGCTCGTTGACAATAGAGGCAAGACAGCCATTTTCCACTAGGAGGCGCTTGATTACAGCCTTGAGCACTGCCTCTGGGTTGGAGATCATCCCTTCCTAGCGGGTCATGCCTGCCAGCTGCAGGGAGTTAGCCTACTCTAGGATCTCTTATTCAGTTGTCTTCACCAGGTTCCGAAGGTGAAGGTTTGGGCTGACACTGTGGATTGCACACATGTATGCCTTTAGCAGCTGAATGTCTCATGGCTCTTCTGCTCCAGTTACAGTTTTAGGCTGAGATCAATTTTTCAACCATATTGTTGGATGACAGGGATAATGCTGTCTCTTAAAATTTATTCAGTGGGCTGGGCAGATAGCTTAGTAGAAAAAGCGCTTGCCTGGCAAATGCAAGGTCCTGAGTTCATCTCCGGTACTGGGGGAAAAAAAAATCAGTAGATTAAAAGCTGAGCTTTTTGGCTGGCCTGAATTTACATTTTTTTTTTTTTTTTCAGGTAAGCTCTAATGTTTTTGTTTTGTCTGTCTTTTTGAGACAGGGTCTTCCTGTATAGTCCAGGCTAGCCTGATACTCCCAGCAGTTCCTCTGCCTCAGCTTCCTATGTGCTGGAATCACAGGCATGCCCAATTTAGCCTTAATTCCTGATATACAAATATAATATTGCAGTGCTTCAGTGAACGTTGATTAGAAATTATTTGAACTCATAGGGTTATGCTCATTAACATTAGATATGTGTGTGTGTGTGTGTGTGTGTGTCTGCGGAACTGAACGTAGGACTTTTTGTTTGCCAGGCAGACATTTTGCTGTTGAGCTATATCCCTGGCCCTATATGTCATCTTTATTTGTTTATTTATTTATTTATTTAGTGTGTGTGGCCAGCTCAGCCCACCAGGGGGCGGGGCTGGCTGGCATGTGGTGCTGGGGGATTGAACCGCAGTCCCTGTGCTTTGTTTAGCTTAGTTTGTTCTAAGTAGGTGCGTTAGACCACTGAGCCATCTCACCAGCCCCGCTATATGTCATCTTAAAAGAGATCTATGAAGATATTTAGGTAAGAGGCTAAGAGGTTAATAGTCTAGAGTTACTTTTAGGTTGAGATTGGTTTTGGGCATTTCCAGATCTAGATATATGTACTTTGTTGTTGTTATTATTATTATTTTCTATTGAGCATTGAATCAGGAACTTGCACTTGCTAGGCAGATGCTTTTGTATTATTATTATTGTTTGTCTTTTTGAGACAGGGTCTCACTATGCAGTTCATGCTGGCCCTGAGCTCACTTTGTATCCCAGACTTACGGTGAACTTGCAGTAATCCTCCTCAGCCTCCTGCCTGCTAGGATTACAGGCATGCACTACCAGGCCCAGCTTCTTTTTTTCTTCTTGTTGTTGTTGTTCTTCTTCTTCATGTATATATACTTTAAATAGGTTGTTTAGTTTTAGACAGAAAGTAAAAGTCATCCTAGAAAGTTTGGCATAAATGAGTTTTCCGTAGTAGAATATTGATTTTTTAAAAACTGAAATACAATACTTTACCTCAGGCAACATGACATGTATTAGTGGTCTTTTACTTATTTGCAGGTAGTGCTGTAAATGTGATGCATCCCTCCCTGACCAATGTTACCAGAGAGCCCCTGGGGGGTGAATGGTATTCCCTGAAAACTGCTGATGGAGACCTCCCTCACTTGAATAGAACAGTCTTTCTCAGATGACTGTTGGAGAGTTATGTTTCAGTGGGAGGGAAAGGGGAGCAAAGGAGAGCAGAAGGATGAATAACCCAGAAGAATGAATAGCCATGTTAGGTACTTTATTTTATAATCTGTGAGTACAAATAAAGCTTAGCACTTATTCTACTGAGCCATCTCCCCAGCCCGCGGTTTTGTTTTTTTGGGACAGGGTCTCATTATGTAGACCAGGCTGGTCTGAAACTTGCAACGATCATCCTGCCTCAGCCTCTCTGTGCTGGGATCACAGGCATGAGGCTCTATACCCAACTAGGAGACATCATTTTAAATGAAGTTGGTAACTAGAAGCAGTGGCATGGATACAAGATGAATTAGACATCATCAAGAGGATTTGGTATTAGAACATATTTGAGACTTGAAGTGTGAAGCTTCCAGGACTCAGATAATAATGGTACTGTAGGGGCTGGAGAGATGGCTCAGTGGTCTAAAGCACCTACTTAGAACAAGCTTAGCAAAAGCATCAGGGACCGCGGTTCAATCCCCCAGCACCACATGCC